AAAGAAAGGCCAATCTAATTTTGTCAAAGTCACACGGTAGGTAGGGAAGCTAAACAAACGCTGAAACCCTAAAATATTCAACTCTAAGCCCCTCGCTTTTAGCTTCCTGCACACGTCCAGGGGCCCCTTGGTCCTACTTCTTCTTGGTGAGGAAGTGCATGACCACCTCCTCAGGACACTGAACATGTACACCTCCACAGGTGACCCGGACCCCGGTATTTTGTCTGGGCTTCTGTGACAGGGCCCAATCTCTCTTGTACGCATTAGTGTTGTCCCTGTCAAGAGTTGTTCAACTCTATATTGTCTTTCTTGAGGGGTAGGACCACACCTACAGGAAGTCCCCCACATATGGATCCTCTCCAGATCTACACACAGGTTATGCTATAGTCAGTCATTTGTTTCTATAGCCTTTTCCAACAATGTCAATTTGGGAGAAAACCAAACACCAAGAAGAGTCTGTCCAGCCGCCAGACTGGCTCCTCTGCAGGAGGCAGAGTAAGGGAGGACCTGGGAACACCGCAAAGCCTACCATGTGCTCAGAAACAGGCCGATCTGCTTTGCATGTCCCTGAGAGACGTCGCTGGAAACCTGGCACCACCTCACCTTTTGTAGAAATGAAAGCGCTCTGTGAAGAGCAGAAACTGCTTCTCTCCTTGAAGGAAAAAGTGTCTGGCCCTGGAGATAGCAGACTTTTTCGTGTACTCGCAGATGTGAGTGAAGTTCACTTCCTCCTTCTTGAAGTAATTTCGGAGACGCACGAAGTCAAAGTACGAGGGGACATAGACGAGTGCGTGAGACATGACTGCATCACGATATTGAGGCAAAATCTTGTTCACAAAAAAGTTAAACCTGATTTGGAAAGGCAAAGGGTAAAGTCAATGATCTCAAGTTGAGCCTGTAGCATCACTACAAACTGAGTGGCCCTGGGCAAGCCACGATCTCCCTCTATCTCCCCAAAGAGACCACCATGGCTTATGTCATTGCAAAGACGTTACTTAAATAAAACTTGACGAGCACATTAATAAGTGTTAACACCAGTCATCATAAAGAATAGGTGTAACGCCAGTTATCCCAGAAAACTATTCTAGGAAGTATCTAACCTCATCATTCATTCACTCAGTCAGTCTGTCTGTCATCAGCCAATCAGTCAACAAACAATTGCTGAACACCTCCCATTTGCTAACCACCATTCTGCTACCATGGGTCCCCTGACTAAACACAATGCAGAGGAAGGAGGAAAATAAAGAGAAAATTACAAAAACAGTTCTTGCCCTGAAAGGTTTACAACTGTTGACACAGATACTTTGTGGCATTAAGCAGTGTGATATAATTAAAAAACACCCCAGTCTAGAGGGAAAGACCCCTGATTTACGGTACTAACCCTGCCACTAACTAGCTATAAGAACGAAGCTGAGGACCGTTTCTCTCTGGGCTTCAGTTTCCTCCTCTGTCTATGGCATGATTGGGTTCATCAACTCATTAGGTAAATGGTAATCAAAAAAACCAGCATGGAATCCAGGTTTAAATTTGTATGCCAAAGTCAAATCCCTCTGTGAGGCCCCCAGGCATTCAGTGAGACTGGGGAGGGGTGGATACCTGGCATCGATCACCGAAGCTAGGTTTTCAGCTTCCATCTTCTGGAAGACATGTGGGAGTTGCACCAGCACGTGACTAATGGAACCTGTCATCGGGACGTTCCTCACAGCCACCTGCCAGGAGTCGATGAGAGCATTAGGCGGTAAGCCATTCCTATTATTGACCAAATACACATGCTTCAAGAAGATCCAGAGAAACAAGGGCAAACCCACCTGGCCCTGTGCATTGACACAGTACTTGTTGAACACGGAATTGATCTGGGCATCCTGCAGGGCCCCGAACAGTAGAGTCTGGCGATAGAACTTCGACCAGTTATTGAGGCTCCACATCCTCACTCGAGAAAAGTCCACCCCATGTGAGTCCAAGGGCAGCAAGTTCATGTGATTCATCAAGTGCTTTCAGCAGAAATAAAACCACCATTAATAGTTACTGAGGATTTTTACCTGTTAGGCACTGCCAAGCATTTTATAAGCCTGCCATCTTATTTAACCTGATAAAGTACATACTATCATTTCCCAAATTACAACAAGAAAATTGAGGCTCAGATGAGTAAGTGACTTGCCTATAGTCAGGCGAACGCCCCCAACAAAAAGCTAACTAAAACTGGCCATCTCTCGGACCTTCGAAAGAGGATCAAAATAGTAACTACAGGAATTTTCCTTTAAAAGGAACTTCTGAAATGCTACTCTGGTCATTCTATGGGTTACTCAGTCCCAAACTTAGACAAGAAGGGAAATGACATGGAAAATAGCTGTTATCCTTCAATGATCTGGTTCTTAAAATATTAAATTTCCGGAACCACGACACATGCGTTTTCTACTTAATTATATTTTTATCTCACAATATATATTGAAGGGTCACGAGAACTATAAATTTATTTCCACCTTTTAAATAAGTACTCCCCTTTATTTGTCCCAAACTTCCTGTAAGACCTGAGGTTGTAGGAAAGGTAAATTCTCATACACCTTAAAAAAATAAGCCTATGAACCGTGATGGAATTATTCAAATGCACAGGTTCTTAATCCTAAAACTGACAACAGTACAGAGTATGTAGAGAGGGAGAAAAAAATTACAACACAAATTACAGTGAGAGGATAAAAACATCGTACATTTCTCTGCAAAACCAGATCACACACATTACGAAATCATGAGCAATGGTTTTTCATCTCCACTGAGGACCAGACAAAAAAGAGTAAGCATCAACTGTAGGAGGAATTATGTCAGAATAAAGACATCCATAGTGGAGGATTTTCATCCAATCACCTAGCCACCCAACTAACCACACTAAAGTGGTCTATTAGAAGTGAACTTTGAGGGGAAGAAATCTTTTCTGGAGATTTCACAATATTGACAAGAATTTTTATCTTTTCAGATAGTTTCCTGACCAATCTGTGGGTAGAAGGGATAAATTTCCCATTTTCAAACTGGAAAATGTGGACTTTTCCCTGTTTCACACCAAGTTTTAATCTGGACTTAAATAACCCTGTGGGATTTAAACCACTGAGCTTCTTGTCCCTCTAAATGTGAATGACCAGCATTACCAGAACATGCTCCCAGTTCTGCATCAGGTAAATGTCAGCTTGATCAATGATGAGAAGCTCAACAGAAGACAAAAAGTCAAAATCTCTCTTCTTCTCTCCTTCTGCACCAATGATGGTCCTCAAGCCCAGAGGGGAGGCGATGAGGATGTCCGAGGAGTAAAAGGGGGCATAGAGTCGGATGCTTCTCTGAAGTATTGCCACTCCTACACGAAACAGCCAAGTACACATCAGTGCGTTCATCACTGCCCAGCCATTGGCTTCCACCCTCTCAAAGCATCTCCATCCTTGTACCTTCCAAACCTTTCCCCTTGGCATACAACCATGCCCAAACTGCTTCAGTTATAAATCATCATCATCATTATCCCACCGTCGTATCTGGGTCCCCTCCGGCTCCCATTCTCTTCTTCTCCTTCACTGTTAAACTTCTCCAGATAATTGTCTCTACTTTGAAACTCGCGCTCGCTCCTCAATGCACCACAATCTGGCCTGTGATGCTCAGGACTCCACTGAAATGGCGTCTGCTAAGGTCACCAACAGCCCTCCATTACCAATTCAATGGCGCTATAGTGTTTCTTGTCATGACTGTGGAAGCAGCACTCTGAACACACCTTCCTTGAAATGTTCGGTTCTTCAATGGTGGTTTCCATACATTTAACACTTCCTTTCTCTATCACTGACTCAGCCCTATCAGTCTTTTCGGATCCAAATAGCTCTTCTACAAATCCCTGGATTCACCTACAAGTGCTACTTCCACTCTACACAGAGCTTTGGGTACATTTATTCTCTAACCATGGTTTTAATATCACCTTCACACAAATTTTTATTTCCAGCCCATATTTCTTTCCTGAGCTCAAGACTGATATATTGGTAACTTGCTAGACACCTGCCCATGTTTAAAACTGGACATCAGCTCTCATCCCCTTGCACCTTACACTCCAGCCATGTCGAAGCCTGTGTGAATCCTAGGCCATGCCAACTCATTCATCCTGAGGCCTCTGCACATGCAGTTCCTTGTCTGAAATCCTTTCCTCCAGTCTGACCACTCCCCTTCGTGACTGGTTAAATCTCACTCAGGTTTCAGCTTAGTACAGACGGCACCTCCATTGGAGGCCTTCCCTAACCACCCTGCACCCCTTTTGGGTGTGGAGATTGCTTTAAATGCTCCCAGAACACCCACTGCATCCTCTGATCATAACACTTCCCGCTCTGTACTATTTCTCCACTAAGCTGGACTTCCTGGAAAATAGAAATCGTAACTTTTATTTCTATATCCCTAGCTTCACAGTGTCTGGCACACAGTAGATGCTTAATAAATGTTTGGTGAATGAGCATATTTGACTAACAAACTTCCCCAAGAACTTCGTCAATGTACAAGCAACCAAATACGTGGGAGTAGAATGAGAGACAAGCAAAAATGTGAAAAAGTTGGGTAGGAGAAAATAAGTCCCAAGTGGCTGTAATTCAGAGCCACTCTGCACGGCAGGCAGGAGGAAAGTCCACCATTACAGAGACGCTCAGTTTATTCAGTCTCCTCAGACCGACGCCCTCAGCCCATCAGTCACAGCTTCCCCGGGATTTCCTGTAGCACTGACCGTGTGCTATCAGCTATGGGTGTGCTGAGACACTGTTATAAACGTCTACATGCCTTTTCCATATGCCTTCAGATACACTCCACCCCATTAGCCATGGCAAGACTGTCCCCTGGCAGACGAGATGTTTCAAATGCACCCTGGTTCTGCTGAGAGGCTGGGTCAGTGACCCACTGAGACAATGCCTAATTCCAGCTATGTGAACCTCGCCCCTCAGGCCCCTCAGGGCCTCAGTTTTGACAGGAGGAGTTACCGATCCTGAAGTGGTCATCGATGTTGCCCACGAAGACAGCTTCGTAATCCTCAGGCCTCTTCAGGTTGGGTGGTCTCTCCTCAGGATCTGAGCCATACTCTCCATTAAACCTCTTTTTGTTGCTCACAATTATTTTCTTCTTACTGTCGCCCTCAAGGAGGCTGATGAAGAGCTGTACCACCCGCAAAGCAGCTTCCCGGAACGGCACCACTATCAGCACCTATGGGAGAAATGATGGTGAGCCTTGATGGGGTGACGGCGGGAAGGGCAGCTTGAGGTGAGCCTGCCGACGGTGTGCTGCTAAAGAATCCCCTGTAAGCAGTGGCCCCAGCCAGGGATGACGTCACCCCCTTTGCAGGGAACCTGTCTCGAATCTGGAAGCTGAGCACATCCACAGCGCCATGTCCTGAGGACTTTAATAGTTCCATGGGAGGCAATTCTCAAGCAGAATTTGAAATACATTTTAGGCTAAGTCAACACCTTTAACAGAGGTGTCCACCAGCAAAATCCAAGAATATAAACACCCAAGTTCTTTGAGGGCAAGAAATGTACAGTATTTTTATCCGTAATATCCAAAGAACAAATATGTTCTGAACAAAAAATGAACTAGATGTAATAAGCGGGGAACGAATAAAGCTGGTAAGGAAAAGGACTAAAGCATCACTACTTTTCTAATACACTTTCTAGTACATTTTTCAGAAACGATAAAGTATTTCTGAAATAGGATATCTGAATGGGAAATAGAGGACTTAGTTCTCCAAACATTTCCTAAAATGCTTCAAGTTATAACTGTTAAAGGAAAAAAAAAAGATCCCCCCAAAATGATTAATTTCTAACTACCCATTTGTAAACAATACAATCAGTGGAAATAACTCCAGATTTTGCAATTCACTGAATTCTAAATGTGCTTCCTGGGTAATCTGTCTCTCGTTCTTTTTTGCAATTCTAGATGGAAACAGATAATCTTATAATTCTGATGTTAAGAAAACTCTGAGTTAGTTTCCCAGAAAGGCAACCAGCAGAGCCAGAGGGGGCAATAATCAGTTGGGTACAGCGCAGGGTGGACAAACCAAGAGTGAAGAGGGCCGAGCTACTGTCCCGCTGTGACACCAAGGAAATGTCTAGGCTTTGGTTTCCCCAGCTATCAAGCAAGAGGGTTGGACTAAGAAATCTCTAAGTGCCACATCAGTATTAAAACCGGAGAATCCTATAAGCTCAATGAGAACAATTTAAAAAGATGAGGCTTCCTCAAAATGGAGAGGCATGGCTAAGGGGCAGAGGGGATGGATGACACAAATCTAGCTCTATAACATCATGAAAAGTGTAGACAGAATTAAAAGACATTTCTGTCAAAGCCCTAAATCCACTGGAGCTTAGGCTTATGAGCCCAAATAAATGTAATCATCACTTTAAATGGCAATACCTATCCAGAGGAAAAATAGGGGTTTTTCTTTTCCATTGTTTACATATTTAGGTGGCTGACTGAAGAGGATCCTTGGTTCTAGTCCCACCTCTGCTGCTCTTCTCCTGGTTCTCCTTAGCAAGGCCCCCTAGGAATCTAGGTCTTGGTCTAGAGCTGTAACAAGTAGGAACTGGATGAACAGCTCATTATTAAGGTCCCACTCAATGCTGACGATCATGAAGAAGAGATTTATAATGGAGTGTTAGGTATGTTCAGGGCTTATCTTTATGGAGAATTATCATGGAGGTACTGCCTACTCACAAGTCTCCAGTTAGATGCACTGTCACAAACAGTCCACCGAGGCATCTGCAGCGCGGCTCTGACAGTACCTGGCCCAGCCGATATGCTCACTCCTAAGACTCATTCATTACTCTAATCATTAAAACAGCTGAGTACCTGCTAAATGCTAGGCACCTATACAGCAGTGCTCTACAGCCTAACCTCTGGAGGGCAGAACTCTCCTGCTGCCACTCACCTTGGGCCTTGTTAGCCCTTGGTCCCTGAAGTCATTATCATCACCCACGCCAAGTTTCTGGCTTCGGCGTCTGCTGTTGTTGCCAAGCACCTGGGCATTGGCTTTGAGGACGTGATTCACTGCATGCAGGCAGTACACATGGCGGATCTCTTCCCCGTTCTTCAGGGCAGTCCTTTCTGGGTAGAACAAGTCCCGGTAAGAATTCATAATTAAGAAGAGCTCTTTCTGGAGGGGTGTAAAGGGGCTACTTGATTTTGGGAGACTAGACAGGAACTGGCTGTTGGTCTTGGTCCAAGTGGATTCCAAAGGCCTCTGGAGATGAAGTGATTTTAAGTCAATGTCCTTTGGGGGTTTAAATGTTTCCAACTTCTGAAACTTGGATGAAAAGACAAGCTGCCCCAGGATAGGCCACTAGGGGAGAAACAGATCAAGAGCTGAGTTAGAAATGAATTTTAATATCTCACAGTCACATACTACTTTATAATTTACCAAGACCTCTCGTGATCACCTCTTTTAATCCTCACAATAACCCTGCGAGGTAAATACTCTAATGTTCTTCTTACAGTTTAGGAAATGCTGAGGTTCAGAGAGGTTATATGATTCAGACAAACTTTTGCAAACAGTTCTGAAATCGCAAAATTATAGAAATGGAAAATGAATTAGTGGTTACCAAGCATTAGGAATGGGGGCCAGGTGCTTATAAAAGGGCAAGGGGAAGTGGGAGGCATCTTCACGGCACTGGGAACGCTCCGCATCACGACTACGGTGGTGGATGGGGGAACCCACACACGTGATAAAACGATATAGAACTAAACACACACGACTGACTAGGAGTAAAACTGGGGAAATGTGAATAAGACAGGTAGATTTATCACTGTCAATTTTCTGGCTATGACATTGTATTACAGTTTTACAAGATGTTACCATCGGGGAAAACTGGGCAAAGGGCACCTTTTGTATTATTTCTTATAACTGCATCCATAATTATTATCTCAATAAAAATTTCAATTAAAAAAGGATGACCACTCTCATGAACAGTACCAGTTGGTAAAAAAACAAAAAAACCCAAAGCAAAAACTGCTCCATATTTGAGTAATTTACTGGTGAACCTATATCTGATACTTCACACAAATGAACAGCTGTAGCTACTGTTTTACTGAAAACTTTCTATGTATCAGTCAGTAAATTACTTTATTTTAAGGTAGGCATTACTGTCCCCCTCTAACAGATGAGAATAGTGAAGATCAAAAAGGTATATTAACCTGCCTTAGGTCATGTTAACAGTTCCTCACAGATGTCGGTCTAGACCCTGGGGTACTGTCTCCAAAACACCCTTATCTGGCTCCCACACCCCAGCTTCCCAGTGCCTTCTCTAGCTACACCTGTGCCCCACTAGGCCCTTCCCGCCTTCCTGTGTCCTGCTGTCCCATCGCGTCATCTACCTCTGGTGTGTACTCTACATTTGGGGAGGCTGCTGAAACCCAAGACCACTGCTTCACTTAGAGCTTTTCTCCCTTGTGACCGAGATAACCAAGCAACACTTACTTTTAGCTGGTGGGTAATTTTGGGATTTGTGGCAGCAGCCTGAATTTCTTTTTCTTTCAGTTCTTTGTTCACGTGTTGTAGAAAAGGATCTAATTCAGAAATAGAGAATGTCAGAACACTTGGAGCAAACGGCAGGCATTTTTTGGTCTTCCCCTGTGAATGACATGCTGTTCTTCATGAACTCATCCTTCTTTCCATCTACCTTCTCCATCCTGTCTTCCAATCCAGAGCTTGAAAGTTTCTGACAGGTCATTTTCCTAAAGCATTTCTCTAATTACATTACTTCCCAGCTCAAAAACCTTTGAAGAAATTTCTCAGTGTGAAATTTGGGGCACTACAGGATGCACCTCCAAGCTACCTCTCTGATGTAATTTTTAAATTTTATGGTCCTCAAATTCTTCGGCCTCTGTGGCCTTCCTTCAATTAAAATTTTTATCCTCTCCTTCACTTCGTCTTTGTTGTAAGCAACAGCATCAGTTTAAAGTTACTCCCTGACTCACAGTAAATATTTCCCAGGAGCCTACTGTGTAGGCATAGTGCTGACTCCACTACAAGGCCGTCCCTAGTCCCCCAGAGACAGTCCCCCACCTTGCCCCCACCCACCAACCCAAAGCATATATGTTCATGACATCTCATTGACTAAACTGTAAGATCCCTGAGGGCAGGTTCCATGTCTGATTTATTTTGCACTGCAGAACACAAAGAAATGTTCGATTCTCAATTGAGTTGGGCAAATGATCTAAATGGCAGGTAGCACCTGCACTCTTTATCTTTAGTGCTCTGAGCTGGCCACCCAATCAGTTGCCTCATTAAGAAGCAAAGTTAAATGACCCATTCAAGGATCTAAATGGTAAAATTTCAAATGCAATGTGCCTTGTACTAAACAATAGGAGATAAGAGTGAACAATAGGAGATAAGAATTCTAGGTTCTAATACATCTATGCAGGCAAAACCACCAAGATATTTTAGGATAGGCAAGCTTCCTAATGTTTCCTCCAGGTTTTTAAGTTACGATGGTTCAGAATGGGGCTTGTACTCACATTCTCCTCACTTCTCCTTCTCTAGCATAATAACCAACAGAACCAAATGAGCCAAGTTAAAATGTCACCTTCATTAATAGTAGCGCTGTCTTGAAGAATGGCACTGGGACGAAAAAAGGCAGTCAGGACACAGAAAGAGACCAACCTGACTTGCCCACCCAGACACAAGTTAAGAAACTGGACTCAAGAGAGAGAACAGAGACCTGCCTAAGCCTACCATAGGCAGGCCTTGTCCAAGTGGCTGCCATTTAGGCAAAGGCAAGGCCAAGAGGCTGAGAGAGCCTAGGGAGACAGAGCGGAGCTTTCTGGCTTCCACAAAGCTCCGTTGTGACAAGGACCAAGCAGATCAGCCACCCTGGACCTCACGAATCAGGAAAATTACTGTTCCAACAAAAAGGAGCAAGTGAAGGGTAGAGAGAAAAGTGCAAAGTATTTCTCCTCTTTCCTTCTTTCATACTTGCAGAGAAAAACAAAAGTCTTCCCCTGACTCTAACTGTGGAAGTGTGAGGCCTGGGGTACCAGCCTCCCTGTTACCATTCCTAAGCTGTTTGTTCTCCTAAACAGCCCCCACATACTGCTAACCATGGAAACGCACAAAATACCTTTGAGAAATATTTCTTCTCAGCTATCGATCTAGCTGCTAAAGTACCTGCTTTTATTGTTTTCGTTCCAATCACAGAGATTTATGTGTATTAGCCCGCACCCCCCATACTAAGCAGTTGGTGAATTCGAATAACACATACTGTGCTCTGACCTTGTGATGCTTTCACAGAACTGTTGCCTCCACTTTCCTCTTCAAGAAAATTGGTTTCCAGGCTAAAAAGTGACTCATGTTTTGCATCTGTAAACTCCTCAGGGGATTCTTGTGACGTGCCAGGTGGCTGTTCCCCATCTTTTCCCTCAGGATCAGCAGGTAGGACCCTATCTCCAATTTTGAGAAACATTTTGTAAAATTATTTACTCATAAATAGAATTATACTTCCGTTGACAAATAAAATCTAATTCCTTAGCCTATATCAACACTGAGGTTCATTGGCATTATTTATTTTTAAACAAATTCAGGTAGAAAACAGATTTCAAAATTAAGCTTGATTACTGACCCAGTTCCATTTCTAGGCATTTATTCTAAGATGATAACTAGACAAAGTACACTAAGACATAGATGTAAGATATTCAAGGCAGCACGAATTATGATAAGAAATAACTGGGAAAGTGATTTCATCAGTTTCTATCAATGGGTTAATTGAATACTAAGTAATTAGTACATGTGCTGCTGAAGCGAGCATGGAATACTATGTAATTAAGAAGCTAATGTGAATCCACAGTTAAACACATGGAAAAAATGTCCATGGCATGTTATTAAAGAAAAAAGACAGTAACAGAAATGTATGAGACCATTATGCACATACACACAAATATATGTACATACTAGTACTCACACATATATTCATAAAAAAGTAGTCTGGAAGGTAATGTAAAATTTTAAAGGTGTTTATCTCTAGGTGGTGGGGAAATAGGTTAACTATACAACCTTCTTACATTTTTACAATACATATATTACTTTTGTAATTTAAAAAAAAAACTTCATTTTGAAAAATCCAAAAAAGGAAAGAAAAATGGAAAACCAAAACCAAAATAAAACAAAAAGACCCTAAGTCTGAGGCAATAAATTTTTATCCTAGTAAAACTAATAAAATACTGAGAATGGTGTGTGGTACCTTAAAGTATAGAAAAAAATACACTGTAAGGAAAATAGGCATTAAGACAGTGAGATGTAAAAAGTCACCCAGATACATTCACACAATGGAATACTACTCCAGCATAAAAATGAATTAATAATACATGAACATGGATGAATCACAAAAACACAAGGAGCCAAAGAAGCCAGACACAAAGGGCTCCCACATAAATGAATTATTACTGTATGCTTCCATCTATAAGAATTTCTAGAACAGCCAAAACTAATCTATCATGAAAGAAAGTCAGTCAGTGCCAGGGACAGGAAACTGACTGTAAAAGAACAAGAAGGAAGTTTTTGGAGGTATTGGAAATGTTCTGTATCTTCACTGTGATGGTAACATAGATGTATATACTTGTCAAAAGTCACTGAATATATATAGTTAAAATGGGTATACTTTATAGTATGCAAATCATACCTTAATAAAGTTAATTTCTAAGCTAAAGAAAAAAGTCTCCTAGAAATCTGAGAAAGAGTTCCATGAAGCTTTCAATCCCAGCTCTTCTCTGAAGCCTTCCCTCGTTTATCCCACCAGCATGTGACCACTCAGCATCTCTACAACACTTTTCTAGCTGTTCCATAAAACTCTACTTGAAAAGTTTTATATATTTGCATCTATTTCCATTAAACTTGGTTTCTCTATGGGAGGAACAGTAATCTCTAATAAATTGAGACCATCACAAGACACAGAATTATGTTCTCATTCCTCTGAACCAGAAAAACTTTAACTAGGATTGATGAAGTCCTAGAAATTCTACGCAAAAATGTTATTTCTGCATTTCTCTGGTGAGAAGTTTCTATGTTTTCATCAGATTCTCAAAGATATCACTGAAGCCAACAAGGTTAAGAATCTCTGCTTTGGATTGACATGCTTTTGCACAGCTCACACAATACAGGGTGCTGTGCCCATGGGGCTATCTGTCTATAGTCCTGGAACAGACTAATGAACCCACACCAAAGACACTTACTCTCCTGCATTTCAGTAGACTCTGCTGCTGTCTCTTCCTCTACAGGGACATCACTGTCACCATCTTCTTCGTTCATTTCTTCCTCCTCTACATCACTGTCTTCTTCCTCTTCATCTTCCTCCTCCTCCTCTTCCTCTTCGTCCTCATCTTCCTCAGAAACATTCTTTAATGTGGCCAGTAGTCTGTGGTAACCAGAAACCTGTTCTGGTTCACTCTCTGCTTCACTTTCAGAACCTGAAGTATCTGAACTCTCTGACTAAAAGGAAAATGGGAATTTTAAAAACAAAATGATATTGTTCTCATTGCTACCCTATGACTATCATCAAGCCAATAGTGCAACAGATTCTGACATTCCTAAATAAAAATTAAGCTTTTCTGCAAATATGCAATCCTAGATATTCAACCAAGCCCAGCGCCAAATTTATTTAAAACAGCTAATCTAGCTAAGTCCCTAGAAGCTCTTCATCTTCTCTGAACTGCTAATGTTCCACATAGGAAGAAAGGAGACAGAGCTTTAGGCTATAAGGAAACCTAACCTATGTGTCAGACATTTGGCCCATTTAAAGGAGCGACAGGAAAATTACAATTTAACAAAAGTACGTAGGCTGCTAAGCCTCCTTAACAGGTTCAAATAGATTGATCTCTTAGGGCAGTTTCAAACTCTGGTTACTGTTGAACTTATCACAATAGACATTAATTAGAACAGGCATTTTAATAGACAACTGCATTCAAAAATGAAGCAATATTACTAAAATAATAACATATCTAAAATTGAAGAGTAGAAATGTAGCCAAACTTTATTATTACATATAACCTTAAAAGCAACAACCCAGAACCAACTATTATAAAGAAAGAATAAAGCATTACCAGTTGACAAATCTGTGGTTTAACTTCCTTTCTGGAAACCCTGAGAAGAAACACGTAATGTTAAACTCTAACTGCAAGTATTTAGCAGTTAAGAAAAAGTCTAATGATACAACTTTAAATGAAAAGGGCAGAATATTCCATTATAAACACATTATAACTATAATCCTGTAAAAACTACATATGCACTGGGACAGGGATTATAAGAATATGACAAATAGATTATAATTGACAAATGAAGTTTCACGAGGTCTCATGACAAATACTAGAGTCATACAACAACTGGCTAAATCTGGCAAATAGAAAACCTCGGGTTCACCTTTTCGCGCAAATTTCTAAATTAGAATATCCCTCTAAGTCACTGATAAAGCAGCCTAAAGTGTTGGATGAGGACTAAGATCATAACTGAGAGTCTGAGCACTCACAGAGGAACCCACAGCTACCGATACAGCAGTGTCCTCCGTGTAACTGGACAGATCAGTGATGTCGAAGGTCCCAAACAATTCTTTAAACACACACACAAACACACACAAACAATTCAGAATATCTCTTAAAATACAAAACCCAGCCCACACACAGCGGGCGTGTGGTCTAGCATAAAGTTACGGCCCCAACAAAAGGTAGGAAGACCCATGTGGAACCCCATCTCACCCAGAATGTACGGGGCCCTGCCCTGAGCAAAGAGGAAGCCGGGTAAGCGTGGAAAGAGGTAGGAGCAGCCCCGTCACCATCCCATGGGAGACCCGTGGACCAAACCAGGGAAAACGCGGGCTTCTACTGGGAAAAAATGCTGCAGCTCTGGCCCCAGCCATGTCCCTCCATACCTGTCATGGAAAGGATGCTCCTCGCCGAAATCCCGAAGATGCTTCTTCTGCTTTTTAGTCAGGGTGTTGAGCAGCTGGCTCCGGTTCCGGCTCCCGCGTTTGCCCATAGTGAAAACTCAAGTTTGTCGGCCTTCAAAAGCCAAATTTTCCAACAGGAAGTTGTCCTGTCAATCCACACGCCGGGCCTCGGCGACAGTGCTTTACGGCAGAAGCAGGGTGCCGTAAAGCAGGCCCGCTTTACGTCGTGCTTGTACGACAGACAGTTAAAATTTCCTGGTCGCGATTTTGCCCCCTAGCGAGGCTCCTTGGAAGCACATGCACGCTTGCCCATTTATTCCGAGTCCTAGAATGTTGACAGGCTCGGGACTGCCAGGGGTGAGTAAATGGGTGGGCGTGCTTGTGCATCTGTTTTGGCTGTGGGACTCAACCTGGTAAACATGTAGTAGTGGAGATGGTTGAATGCAGTGACTTTATATTATTCCATAATAAAAATGCCAACCAATATTTAGGGGTGACGGCACATCTCACTTCATCCTCACAGCACTACACAAATGTGTCTTATTAATAAGCCTGATACTACAGATGAGGAAACTGACACCTAGAAAAGGTTACACAATAACAAGAGAGGAGATGGAAACCTAAGTCTGTCTGACGTGACTATAGGCTTTTACCCCACTTGGGTCTGTCGCATGCGTGTGACAAGAATGGAGATGCAAGGCTGAGCTTCCCATCCCTCACCCACCTCCCCCCATTTCCTGAAAGTATTAGAAGAGCTAGAAACAAATCTGTTCCGACAGTCTTCGTGTTACAAGAGCAGAAACACATTCAGAGAGGTACAGTGTCTTTTCTGAAATCACCCAGAGAGAGTCTACAGCCAGGCTGCCCTGAACAAGCCCGGGCCGTCTGGTGTGATCTCAGAAGCTAAGCAGGGTCGGGCCTGGTTAGTACTTGGACGGGGGACCACCTAGGAAGACCAGGTGCTGTAGGTGTGAAAAATAAAAAAATAAGGGATTGTAAGCTGATAAGATCCTTGCAATCTGTAAGGTCAACCAAGGGTTGCCTTGCCTGAAAAATAAAAATAAATAAATAGTTAATTAAAAATAAAATAAAATCACCCAGAGAGCCAGATGTTGGAGGATGCAGTGAAACTGGATCACGGGTCTCACAGCTGAACTCTGGGAAAGAAGGATTGAAAACTTTCCAAAGTGGAGTAACGAATGATTCTGATTTTAATCATGGCGGTTGTTACACCTCCTTTACAATTACCAAAATTAATCAAACTGTATATTTAAAATCGGTGAATTTTAATGTATGTAAATAATAACCTCAATAAACAAAGAAGAAAACATCAAAAAGCAAAACTGGACTCAGTACTCCAGACATGCAGAGTGCGCTGGGCTGCTCGAGAACATGGGATAAACACAATGATACTTTTCTCCTAATAGTAACTTATAATATCATGTTCTGTAAAAACACAGTGGTAATTCATAGACCACAAAATTCACCTGAATTTTTAAGGTGAAACGGGAGCCATCAAAGAGTGTTCACTTTTGGCTGTGCTACTAGAGGTGTTTCCATGGGAAAATCTGAGCTTTGCCCAGTACCACATCATACCTGTAGAAGTCGTACTGGAGCTACTAGGTTCCTATTCTTGTCAGTTCTGGTGGCCATCTACTGTTCCTAATTAGATTGAGAGGTTGGGTGGGGTAGGGAGGGCTGGTGGAGGGAGTACGAAGGAAATATGCAAACAACTGGTGATGCCAGCAGCTGGCCCAGCCAAGGAACCCATAAACAAATAGACATCTGTCTTCGGTCTAACGTCAAGATAAAAGGTACAGTCACTTATGTCAACAAAAGGCTGTTTGCAAAATGTCATCATATATTTTAAGGTGCTAACCATAGTATAACCTGCCTATAACAATAAAGAGATTTTTTTTTCTCCTCCCACCCTATCCCAAGTGTCCCAGCTTCCTTCCCCAGAGGCAACCAATTTCTTGGTAATATTCCAGAGATCTATAAAAAGCTATACTCTCGAGCACTTGAGGTGACTCCTTCCTCTCTCCTGGTTTCCACATCCTTGTAGTCCTGTGGGCATGTCTAGACTGTTCCCATATTCAGGCAAAAATGTGCCCCAGCCCCACCCAAGCGGCCTCCTCATTGGTTCGCTGAGCAATGAATGGGAAAGGGGCCCCTCTTTTTATAAGTATTTTTTATAATTATAAAAATATTTATATTAGCCTTTGACAATGTAAAAGGGGATCCTTTGTGAAATTTTAACCTGAGAGTCCAGAATTTGAATATTTTTTTTCACGCCTCCAGTGAACATTCTCTTAGTAAACCCCACACAAAGAAGATGTATGTGCCAACTAGTGAAGGCCATGGGAAAATTGTAATGAAGGCAAATTTGTTCTTCCCTTTCTCCTTTCCATGTACAGCCTTCCTTTTCCTTCCTCCAAGGTTTTCTTTTACCTTTACCCTTAGGCACACAGTATTTTCAGGGATAAAGGCAGTCCAGGAAATAATCTTTTATGCTAGTTCATAAAGGCATGTTTATGAATTGTTTCTTTTCCCAAAGTGTTTGCACTTCCCAGGAGACTCACCACAGTAATGATCTCAAAGGGTGGGAGAAAGATGACAATCTCTAAGGACAAGAATATCAGAATATTCAGGAAGGTGTTAGTAATTAAAAAAAAAAAAACTCTTTTCTTTGGAAAATTTCAAGTACATACAAAAGTAGACAAAATAGTGTAAAGCACTCCCATGTACCCATTACTCAGCTTCAACAATTATCAGCACGAGGCCGTGTCGTTTCATATACGTGTCCACCCAGGGCCCCTGACACTTCTCTGCATTATTTTTGAAACAAATTCCATACATTAGACTATTTCATCTGTAAATATTTTAGTATGCATATCTAGAAGATAACGATTCTTTCTTTAACAGTTACAATGGCATTATTTCACCTACAAAAGTAATAACAATTATTCAGTACTATCATATATCCAGTCAGTGTTCAAATTCTGATCATCTCTTAAATGTGGTCTTTTTTTTTTCTTTTTTTTTTTTTTTACACATTGCTGGTTTTACATGTTCTGCTGTTCTATTTCTCATGAATAGGTTGTTGGATATAGAACTTTTACTGGACTTCATTATAGTTGGTATTTTATGCTGTCATCGGGAGTCATATAACATCTGGACGTCTGGTTGCCTTTCATTTTGTGATGTTACTAGCCATTAGGGCTTAATGTCTAAATGTGTTAATTCATTAGAGGTTCCATTCTAATTCTATCATAGAGGTGATATTCTAAGTCTGCATTTTTTCTTCACTTATTTGCTGGACTGTTCCATGACAACAGACTTCTCCCTTATCTAAATGTGGGTTACATAATGGTACCATTTATATAGGAAAAGCAGATTAAATGCTTGATTCACCGCTTCATTTACTAATTTTCAACACAAGGAGTCAATTCACTAAATCTTCTAATGGTAATTAATCAAGTCTTTGTTTTTATTTTTAGTATCATTATCGACTCCCAGAGTTATATGAACTGATGTGTTTTAATCCCTTGCAAACATTACGATTTGAGAGTATTTATTTAATATATAGCCAATGCAAAGACAGATAAATCATTTTCTAATGCAAACTGCAGAAAGTAAGCAGAGATCTGAGAGTCTCAACAGTTTGGGGGGTACAGCTTAAGGATACAGATCAGATACTGAGAATGTTTGAGTTTTGAAACTTATATGACAACAAGAGCACATGGGTTCAAGGCATGTTTACCGGGAGCCATATGTGATCCAAAGGTACAACTCTCTAATGATGGAAGTTTAGATACCTCAGCTACTGATTTGGGAAGATTCTGGGGAAGCCAAGTGTGTGTGCCTGTGCATCTGTCTCTTCCTAGAGGACTTAAATCAGAATTTCCTACATACAAGACCAGCCCCCTCTACCATATGCATGCATACACATGAGTCCATATGTACCCCAAAGCAATCCAGCCTCTCCCTGAGAGTACTGACAGAAGTCAGTCTTTTGCTACCCTTATAATGAAATGAGCTTATCTATTCATTCAAAAAACTTTACTACACACTGTCTGCCAATTGCTATACTAACAGCTGAGGCAAGGAGACTCTTCAAGACGTTTCTAGATATGAATAAATCCACTGGTTATCACAATATACTGTGATAAATGCTGAACTGAAAAACGCTGGGTGCAAAGGAAACTAAGGACAGTGTTGAGACTAGGGGCCAAATGGGGTAGGGAGAAGCCGCTGCTGTTGAGCGTTTGTCAGTCAGTCACATTTACTGAACATCAGTACTGAGCTCAAAATTTATCTAGATTCTAGTTCTTAGGCCGTATGAGGTGTTTCGGCTGACTTCATGGGCAGTGCGTGTGTGTTCAAGACAGGATATGAGGGATCTAGAACAACAGGAAATTAGAAAGCTGTGTAGCCATCAGATGCCACAGCATTTATTGTGTATGGAGCAATAAGCTTTCTACGTGGTGCATATTTTAGAAAACAAAATTATGTCTGAGAAAAGAAAAGCTTTGTAATGGACTTAGATGCACTCCACATAACAGAAACATAAAATATTATATCTAGTTCCTTTCCTTTTTATTCATCTGTACCCATAGGAAGTTACCCATTGTCAAACCCAGAGCATAGTGTATAGTGGCCTTTAATAAATGTTTGCTCAGGTTTATCAGAGGTCAATTTACATTAGGTCTAACCTAAAACTGAAATATTTTATAAGATTATGTTAATCTAATTAAGAAGGAGCCTAAAATGCTGCGCTCGAGGGAATAAAGGTTTACATCTCTCTCTAGTGGAGTATTGATATAACTACACTGTATTTTTCATATTTTCTGGCAAAGGCTCAGCATGCATACATTCATTTATTTATCAAACATTTACTAAACAGTTACAGCGATCCAGGCATGACTCTAGGCATCGAGGATTTAAAAAGCTCAGACCTCAAACTTATACCTTGAAGATCTCATAATCTAGTTAGGGAAACAAAGTGATTAACAAATAATTACAGTTCCATGGGCTAAAAGCTGTATTAGAAGGATGTATGAAGGGTTCTAAGAACCCAGAGGATAAAGAAACTCATTTTACTGTAGAGGGGAGGGAAAGGGCCATGGAGAGCTGTACAGAAGATGTGCTGAGTCAGGGTTTCTGGGTAAACATGTTTAGGGAAAGAATATTCCAGAAACAGG